AAGGTTTGGGACTTCTAATGTAATTCTAGAGTCCTGGTGAAGCAATCCGAGCCACTGGAGAACCGTAGTGTATTTTTTCTTCTTATTTTTTTTCCTTTTTATTGGTCTGGGTTATAACATTCATTTCTGGATGAATGTGCAGAGGGACTGTAAACATCATATAAACATAATGGTGCTTGATTCACAAGAATCCTGATCCCACCAGCGGGTGTTTTCAAAATATGTCCCAGGAAACTGGGAAGTGCTCTCCTAGATAAGGACCTCTGGCTTCTATCCCTAACCTAGAACACACCCTTCAGTATTTGACTCATGACTGCCAGGTTTTCCTGGTAATACAATATTGGTGTTAATAAGTAAATTTCGGTACACTAGATTACAATGGAATTTCTGTCAAACAGTGACATATGTTTTGCACCCATATGTCTTGTGTAAGAACTATAGTTTGTTTATTATGTTTGTTCTTTGTGAGATATAGAGTCAAGAAGATTTCCTTTTTTTTTCCTCAAATGGTAATGCAGAAAGATTGCAGAGGATGGGGCAAGGGCATTGTAGAGGCATTGGTCCTGTAATGAACCCTTGTCAAGATACCTTTTATAGAATCATTATATTAGAAATTTGGAGATATCCAATTTATATTTCATTCCCTTTCCTCTGATTTTATCATTCAGTGGCAATTCAACATATACTTTTATTCCTTAAATAAGCTGAAGGTTGTTTTACTGAGTATACAGGTGCCTAGCCCCATGGCTCTTACTACGTCCTCACTGCGCATGGTAGTTTGCTGCAGGTTTTCTCATTTGGGTGCAATCCATTCTAAACTGCAGGACTTTATTTTGGTCAGAGGTTTATGAGGAGTTCACAATGCCCCTACAGACTGCTTTGTCTTCTCAAATCATTATTTCAAATGGAATGTTTTTCACAGTAATTGATCTATGCCTTTTTAATCTCCTTTTGAGGAAAAAAAATATCCAGATGATTTTAGGCAATGCACAAAACAAAGGCATTGGCCACCTTTCAAGAGTAAACTAGGTCAATAGCCACAATACCAGGATTCATTTCCACTCAGAACTCTGGGTACCACCCACATATGTTACAGGTTCACCCAGCAGAAAAGTCCTGTGACCTGGATAAGCAAATGCGTTCTCTATGGCTCTTAATAAGTGAGCACACGTGGTTTTCTGTACTCTTCCATGAGTATACCTGCCTTGTGCTTGTATCAGATTCTAATACAGAACTTGCAACGGCTAGTTAGGATGGCAAGGGAAACAGTTGTTCTAGCCAGACTCAAACTTATCATTGTCTTTGTTTATCTCCAATGCTTGTCCTCAGGCATTTACAGTCTGAGACGGAGAAACTCAGAACCAGATGAACCTGCACACCAATATTATGTCTAAAGCAAGAATTGTGTTATATTGCAGAAAAACATTAAGTGCATGTATCTGTTACATTTGGAATCTTGAGGATATATGGAAAGACAAGTAGGAACAAACCCTATGTCCTCTTTCAAAGACTGATAGTTTGATCATTTTTATTGAAATGTTTCTTTCAACTCCAAAGTAGTTTTCTTAAAAGAAATAATCAAGGAACTTGGAATCTCCAAGTATTAACTGAATTTATCATTTTAGGAATGATGTTAGGTTGGAAGTAGGGAAAGAAAATATGTTTCTGCTTTTGGTGTGCCATATCAACCCATGCTTAACAGAGCTTCACGGAGTAGTGGGAGATGAACAGTTAGAATTTCCAGATGGTTTCAGCTCAGAATTCTACAAGATTTTTAAAGAAGAACTAATACCAATACTCCTCAAATTGTTCTACACAATGGAAACAGAAGGAATATTGCCAAACTCTTTTTATGAGGATACATTTATTCTGATGCCCAAACCACATAAAGACTTTACTAAGAAAGAAAATTACAGACCAATCTCACTCAGGAACATTGATGCAAAATACTAAATAAAATACTGGAAACCAAATCCAAGAACACATCCGAACCAACATCCACCACGATCATGTTGGCTTCATCCCAGAGATGGTTCAACATACGAGAATCTGTCAATGTAATCCACCATATGAACAAACTGAAAAGTAGAATCTTCTGTGCTCCTTCCCATGGGTACAGTGGATTAGTCGATGAAGAACTTTCTTCACAGTTCCAAGGGTCTATGTAGGAACTACACACTGAAGATGCTTAGGAGGGAAGGTAAAGAGCCTTTTATTCACCTTCTTACTAGTGGAGCACAGCCATAGAGAGCCTTCACTTCTGAGTGTTTAGTGTTCATACAAGAGAAATGGTGTCTTCTCTTCCTAAGCTGAGCCATGGGAAGCATTAAAGGAAATAGTATCAGTTCAGAGCATAACACATTACCAGACAGGGCTATAACCCTTAAGGATTCAGGAAATCTTAATGCTTTCTTGCTACTTGGAAGAGCACATTCTAGACTTGGAGTGGGTGCTTGGTGCGTGAACCAATGGGCCTATTTATTTATGTGCTGTATTTCCTCGAATAAATGGTCTACTGTGGAACTCACAGTGACCATCCCGAGGAAAACAATGACAATCTATGCTATACTTGAAAATCTGACTGACAGAAGGAGACCCAGAAACTGATGACCAATCTTTGTTATTCAGTTTTGTTTTTATTCGGTGTTCTTTTTATGAGGTATGTCTTCTTTAGGATGAATATTATATAATTTTATCATGTCAGTTATCTTTGAATACCTCAAAGTGTCTGACTTTTTCCTCCCGTTTGAGCATAGAAGTAAAGGCATTCTCATTTGTTTGAAAGTATGAGACTTCCAAACAGTAGACAGAGGGGTTTACATTTATAATGCGATAAAACATTATCGTTATTTGCTGTTTGTGGCTGGCAAACTTGAGATTTTTGCATGTTATTAAAAGCTTTCAACACCCTTTCTTCTTTGAAGAATAATCAGCATATTGCTTGCCTCCAGCTTTCTTTCAAGGAAAGCCAAAAACAATGTTTTTCCTTTTGCTGAAAAAAAAAATTAACTTTACATGCAAAGGCAGTACACCCTGTTTATGTTGTTTAGGGCTAGGTTAACAAGCTATTTGTCCTTTTTATTTTTGTTTTCAAACTCACTGTCAGCTTTGCAGCTCTCCCTGGATAAAACTAATTGCCTGTTTAGTGGTGGAAATTTTTTGGTCCATAGGGGAAAAGACATCATAGAGGAACTCTGAAAGCATCCCCGACACACCTACAAGGCCATGGGTCAGAGTCGAACTGACAATCCTGCTGGAAGGTGTGAACCATAGACATGAATGTTTTGCTGGGTGCCTTTGCTTTCTCTGTCTGTGGAGAAAAAAAATGGGAAGCCAGCTCTGTCAGTGTGTGCTCTCCAATCTTAAACATTATTATTCCTCTAAATATAGTGCAGGACATTTGTCATCGAACTGTAAAGCTCTTGTTAAAAATAAAATGGAAATTCAAATCTCAAAATAAATCAAGAGCAATCTGCATTGCTTAAGCACCGGCACTTTTCTTTGTGAGCTGGTTGTCTGAGGCCCATGGAATTCCATGGCCGGTCACCCCACTTAAGTGTTTCTTCACGGATTGTCAAGTCTTTTAATTCTCAGGGTTACTTTCGATGTTTCAGGAGGATACTACAAAACAAAATTGATTTTTTTTACTTATTTATTTATTTATTTATTTATTTATTTATTTATTATGTATACAATATTCTGTCTGTGTGTATGCCCGAAGGCCAGAAGAGGGCACCAGACCCTATTCCAGATGGTTGTGAGCCACCATGTGGTTGCTGGGAATTGAACTCAGGACCTTTGGAAGAGCAGGCAATGCTCTTAACCTCTGAGCCATCTCTCCAGCCCCAAAATTGATTTTTTTAAAGGATGTATTTTTATATTTTGTCAATATGTATAAAAATGCAGCCGAGGAAGCAAAATGAATCATTGTGAATGACGTATGAATCCATTTCTCCCTGTAGTGCTGTACCAAGCCTCCTGTTGACACTGGAAGGGAGCGCACTTATAGATAGGAGTCTAGTCACAAGCTCACTGCGGCTGCAATTAAAAGGAGAGGCATGGGTTTTTTACTAATTCCCTGCAGCCACACACTAACCATGTTTATTTTCTAGGCAGTGTACTGTCTTTTAGTGTGTTTCTTAGTCTCTGAGGAGCATACCTTCCCTCCAGAATGTGTTTTACTTCCTTGACTCTCAGTAGAACATGTAAGGGAAGGGGAAGAACAGACTTGGGTCTTCATGCAGCAGATGGCATCAACGTCCTCTGAAAGTTTCTCAAAAAGTGAGTTGAGAGCAAATGAGTGGTTTTTAGTGTTGGGATCTGTTTTCCTTTTTCTTGATATAGCTGCATGAAAGGTCACTCATTCTATTATTTTCAAAGAGGCCATGGACTTGTTTTCTTTGTCCCCCTCAACTCTATGTGTAACCATGCAGAAAGCTGCCGGACAGGAAACGCTTTGGTGGCAGAGCAGAAATGAATGGTATGCCATATTAACTAAGCATGGAGGAAGCTTATTGAAAACATTATTATCAGAAGGCTCATCATTTTAAGTCTCTAATGATTTTGAATAATGACACAGAAGTAACAATGATATTAAAATAAGAATAAAAGCCTAAATGGCTGTCTCAAAGGTAGCTTGTAAATCAGTGGCAGAGTGGAGGGAGGGAGGCATTGATGTGACTTCCAGGCAAACTCCAATCCCTGATACAGCAGAAGAAACAGAAACCCAAGCGATGTAGGGAGGCTGGAGCTTGGAATCACAGGAAACCTCTTGTAAGTAGTGTTCTAGTTATATCACAAGTTTTTTTTTTTTTTATGTACTAGCTCAATCTAGTGTCATATTTTCCTCTTTGAAAAAAATAGGATTTCTTGAAATTACAGAAATGTGCAAATAGAGACAGGTCAGCTCTGTGAAAAGCACAGTAAGCCTGTCTTGTCATGGTAGGGGTAAATTAAGTCCAGTTGACCTATGAATGCCTTTCCCTCTTTGTCAAATTCAGACTGGCCCACAGAAACCTGGAACGGTCTTAGAAACCTGGGAAATATCTGCACAGCAGAAGCACATCCCTGCCAGATGGAAACTCTTACTTTGTGAGCCAACCCAGATCCCTGATAGAAATCAGCACTGGGAGGATTCTTTGAAAGCACGATTTGAGGTGACTGGCATCTGCAATGAATCTCTGTTTCTCCCTGCCTCCCTTACAGATCAGCGCCTCCTCCCACTGACCCTGCTAGACCTCACTGTCTTTTTCTTTTTCCCCAGGAGCTGGTTTGGAAGGCAGTGGGAGTTGTTTAGTGGGCTGGGGGAAGTGAAACACTGAAGAGTAAAATGAGAGCCAGCAGAAGTCCATATTGCTCCATGGAACTGCAGGTTCCTCCTCTTCCCCCTTTTCAGTTGTTTATTTTTGATGTGACGTATGTAATTTCTCTTTGCTAAAATAAAAGAAAAAGGCATCAGGATTTCAGTAATCCTTGGTAATTAGTTTGATTGTGAAGAGTTGCGTGTGATGAGCACCTGTATTCAAAGACACTGGTGCCAGAATTTGGAACTTGGACATAGGTTATTGACATAGATTATTGAGAATGGGAGAAAGAGACAGGAAAGTGTCACAAAAATGCATAAAAGACCCTATTACCCTCTCCTTGCCGTTTCCTCATTAATTTACTATATGGATCAAATTACCCCCCCAACTCAATTTTCTTCATCTGTAAAATGGGAAAAACCAAACAAACAAACAAAAATCCTATTGCTCCTACTGTAGTTTTGATGACTAAAAGTTGTGGTATGCTGAGACACTTTATATAATTTCTCATTTATTCTAACTGCTCAACGACTTTAATCATGTGTCGTAAGCGGGGCTGTGTTTATGGCAAGGCAGGTGCTACTGGATATGCACAGAGGCTGAAATAGCCAGATTGGAAAGGGTTTAAGGCAATGCCACTGGGATCAATGAGAACGCTTTCTAGTGAATATGTAAACAATACTGCAGATGGGACGACTGATGGCGGCCATCCCATATGTACAGTGCTGGGGTTTGCTGGCTGTGTGGTTGCCAGAAGTGGATGTCTGCATCTTTGCATCTTTGCCCTTGAACATGCACTAGTCTGTTTTGACTTGCTTCGGTTCTTTCACTCACATTTGCATATTCTCTTCTCTTCCTTTCTTTCTTTCTTTCTTTCTTTCTTTCTTTCTTTCTTTCTTTCTTTCTTTCTTTCTGATTTTAGTTGCTTGGATTTCCTCCAAAGTATTTGTGGCCGAGATTTTTTTTGAACTTTGAGCTGCCCCCCCCCCCCCCCCCCCCCCCCCTTTTTTTTTTTTTTTTTTTTTGCATACGCTTTGGGCGGGAATCAATAGAATGTCAACATGGCAGGCATATTCTGCCTAATAGCAGTTGTGTGTCTGAGTGAATAGTGTGCCTGCTTTTCTGACAATAACAAATGTAAGTCAGAATTAATGATCCAGGGGAGATGCTGTTGGTATTGCTGGACTTTTACAGACTTTCAGGGGAAATGTGGTTTTTGCCACTGGTGAGTATGTTTACATGGAGAATATCTGTTCATCTATGCATATGCTACTATTAGTGAACATTTACTATGGCTTTGACCCGCTTATTACACACAACCTTACTAGGATTTAATTTACAGTCATAGTTCAATGCTAGTTAATGTGCAAGGTAGCACATCACTGGAAAACTGAGTGAATGGCTGAAGTTCTTAGTTGCATATAACAACATAATTCCTATCATGGGAAAGGATTCTTAAAAAAAAATGACTGATCAGAAACCAAGAATGCGAATTAAGAAAATGGGTCTAAATTTGATCATTACTGCATTTGTAGCTTGTTTCTTCTCTTCCAGTATTTTGGATATTCTCATAATTCTCGACCCTTTTGCATATTAAGTGTAGAAATGCAAATGAAGTACCTGGGATACCTCATAGACACTCTATAAATGCTGGCTAATCAGAGATAGGACAGCATAGAGTGAGTCCAGTTTCTTCCATCTTGACACGTTTCACTGTCACTCGGGTCTTTTTATTCATTTTTTTGCAATAGGCTTCCTTTCCCTCCACTATTAGCGTCCAGTAGTTCTTGAACCTTTTCCTTTTAGTTACTCACCCTGTATACCCTTGAATATCAGTGACCTCTACATTGGGGTGTTTCTAACCACCCTGATCTAGACGTGGACAAAAAGCAGAATAAAGTGGAAATGAAACCTATGCAAATTGGTTTCTTATTTGATCAGTGATGGTCTGGAGGCAGCAGCAAGGGCAGCCAGTATTCCGAATTCCAGAAGAGAACAAACCGTGCGTTGAATGGAATGCCTGTGGTCTCGGGGGCTCATTGAAGAAAGCCGCTCCTCTCAGAAAAGGCCTGCTTTAGTGGTCAAGAAAGAAAACAGTAACTGGGTAGTGCTACGGAGTTCTGGTTGCACCCGTCAGGAAACTCTACCACTTCTCAACTTCTTGGAAGCCTGTGGTGGTGGTGGTGGAGCTTGTTTCCTTCCTCAGAGTTCACAACCCCGGCCTTCCTAGGCATGCATGCTCATCGTTACAGTAACTGTAGCACTAAAGGATAATTCCAGGACGCAGGTGTTCATTTTCTGCTGGAGGGAAAAGAGAAACGAGAGGATAAATTCTCTCTCGAAAATGGTGACGTGACATTGCAAAAATTCCTAAAGGTTTGCTTTTTAGACACTTTTATGTTTTAATTTATAGCAATGAGTTTTAAATGATGAAATTATCATTGCTCAGTTTTAAGAAAACAGTGCGCATGTTTACAGAACTTATGAGAATGCTAAGCCAATATTTATTTTCCACATTTCATTTAAAGAAAAATGTGATAAAAATTTTAAAACCTATTTTTACATTGTTTTTTTCTTTCTTTCCTTTTTCCTTCCTTCCTTCCTTCCTTCCTTCCTTCCTTCCTTCCTTCTCACTTCTTTCCTTCCTTTCTTCCTTCAATTTATTCTGCTCACATCTTGGAAGTGTCATACACAAAATTGTTTGTCATTTATATTCTACCAAGATTAAGGCCTTTGGAAGGATGCAATCTTGGCTATGATAGGCACATGTGCAGGCAAATGCAAATGTTAAGCAATATAAACATGCTATTAGAGACATGGAAGGTACCTCTGGTATTGAGAAATCTTTCCTTAATGATGACTACTAATCTATAGCCTTTCTGATATACAGATTAAAATGCATGTGCAGGTCCTGCTATTAGATACTACAGGCTTGTAGTAAAGTAAAACAAGGTGGAATTTTTTTTTCTGAGTAAAACGTTGCTATGGTTTATTATGATTTAAGACTAATGGAAATAGCCAGAAAGTTCAAAATAGAAGCCTGGGCAATTGTTTACTCAATACATTTAGACATCCTTTTGAATTTTACTCACTAAGTTTCATTTGTACCTAGCATTTCTTTGAGGTAGCATTACACAGAGGTTATGAAGTCTAGGATCCAGGCACTGTGAGTTAAAATCCTGGCACTTATTTCCAGAGGCACAGAGTCATTTATGTTCTGTGATGTCACTTTCGGATTTGTACATTGGAAACAACTGAAGAACCAACTTCAGTACTGTTGCGTGAGCTAAATGAAGGCACATTCATTTAGATCCAGCTAAGTTCCCTCAGATCTTACTAATGTAGTCGCTACTGTGAGCGTATAAAAGCAAGGGTAATCAGGCTGATCTCAAGTGGCCATTCAGGGGATGGCATGAGAAATTCATGTAGAGACCCTTTCAACTTCAAGAAGTGTCCAGTAAATCTGGGCTTTTTATTGTCGATTCAGTAGGAAACCCCCTCATTTTGATGACTTGTTAAGTAGAGGCACACATGTACAATAAAATAATGATAAGATTTAAAATTGGAAAGAACCTAGAAAAAAATCCCTTTTGAGGAATGGAATATCGAGTTGACGGCAAGGATTCTAAGAGCTGTGTGGAGAAATGGCAATGGAAGATAATCTCCGTGTGTAATGAACATAGCAGGCAAGATTCACCTTTAAGGATCACACTGTTTCTCCTAGTACTTCTACCAACAATATTTAGATAGATATATCCTTTTATGGTGTCTGTCTTACTTTGTGAAGTGTATCATATAACATTTTCAGAAATGTGGAAATTAAAAACTATCAATGAGAGTCTTTCATTTTTGTGCATATTTTTAAACCCTTCCAGTTTCTTGGTGCTGGGAGATAGGAACATCACATTTACCAGAGTAGTAGTTATTAAGGAGTTAATCCATTGAGCAATGGATGGGCACTTCTTCCTGAGCGGAATTCAAATGTGGGTTAGTACAATGAATTTTAGGAGTTTAGTTCTGTTTTGGCAGCAGGTGCTTAAAGCCACAAGTACTTCCAGAATCAGCCCCTGCTGCCTCTGAGAGTTACTTGGAGCCTATTCCTGAACTGCTAGATAGTAAAGGCAGAACCGCACCCCCCTGGCACCATTTAGGAAGGTTGCCTCAAGGCATTGTTAAAAGAAGAAAATATGGTTTGGTTTATTGTCAATGAGTGCAGAAAGTTGTCTGCCGTAATGTAGGAAACAGAGAGCAAGAGCCTCCTAGGGATCAGTTAGGAGAACAGGGACCTTTCTTAAGCTAATCAGAATCTGACCATGAGTGTACGGATGGCATAAGAACGGCTGGTGATTGGCACTGGTTTCTTGTTATCGACTTAGCTCTAACGTGTGAACTGTCTTTAGCATTGCTGTCAGATTTATTTGTTTTTCAGGGAATGTGGACAGCCATGTTCCTTTGGTAGTCAGCTCGAAGGCTCTGGAAGGCTCTTCAATTAAATTGCTCTGTTGTCTTAACCTTTCGAAGCACTGCTGAACTAGGGCTTCTGAGCTACTTACCTCATAACATGAATGAGTGAGTTGATTAATGTTTGCATAAGACTTGAAATGTCTGTTCTGAGTGGGATGTGTGCTTCCCGGGTTGTAGAATATTGATTCAGGACATGATACTTATTTCCTTGTTTAAATAATTAGGGAAGATATTTCGTGACCAAACCGCTGAAAGATATAAATGAGAAAAATGGAGGGGCCGATGCAAGCTGCAGGAAGCTTTCTTACTCCACATCTTCATTCTGTGTATCTGTAAAGCATCAGATAGTGAGTGCCTAGGCTGGGAGCCACAGTGGAGCTGATGTTCAT